CCAAACCGGCAGACTTCCTTCTACATTGCAGTGACACCCGCCCCCAGACCCCCGCTCCTCCCCAGTCTCTACCCTGTCAGCCTCGGGCACAGGCACCGCCTGTCTCCGTTCTCACAAGGATCACGGCTACCTCAGGAATGGGCCCTTACTTGCGATGTATAGAAACCCGCTCAAGTTGCCGTAAGACTAACCTGCTTGTGGGAGGCACACAGGAGCGTTTGAGGAGACCGTGGGCAGAACGCACATGCAGCTCCAGTGCCCCTTTTCTGCCCCTGAAAATCTGGGGCGACCTCACCGCCACATTCTTATTTTCACTTCATTTGCTCCTTTCTCTTTGAGTCTTCAAGGAAAATTGCCAAGCCTGAGTGTTCGGAGAGCCCTCCACACTGAGACCTGGTGTCCAAAGCAAGGGAAGTCTTGCTTGAGACTGTGACCTCTAAGGAGCTTATCACAGCTTGGTCCGTTCTCCATTCTCCATTTGTCAAGATAAGAGCTCAGCAGATTTCCAGGAAGTGGTCAGGCAGAGAGGAAAGGCCTGTGCCAGTTTCTGAATCACGATAGCAGAAATGAGGGGCACAGTGTTCAGTTAAACCAACGTTTCTGGAAGGCTTTTGTACATAGGAGGAAGGCGAGGATCAGGATGTCCCCCAGGAGGCCCGGGTCAGGGATGTGGATGGGATGTGGTCGGGGCCGGGACGCTCGCTGGGGGCCGCACAGAAAGGCCACCCTGGGACTCCAGAGAAGGGGTTCATGCCTGAGACCCCACCGAGGGCTCAAACGCAGGAATCTGCCCTGGAACGGGCACGGAGCCAACCCTGTCACCCTCCGGGCCCCCACCCAAGTGCACGGTCTGCCATCTGCTCCCTCGGGGCCCCCTGCGCCTCTTCTCCGACCTCACCCATTTACCACTCTTCCTCTCCTCTTCTCTACGCTGATGACGACAAAATGTGATGAGTGAAGAGGCATCTGCGCGATTTCTTTACATCTGGTCTCAGTAATTACCATTTTTACAAGTGCATATTTACGTACATGAAGTTTACATTCATCTCGGGGAGTACATACATGTGCACGACACAGTTCAGTTCTCTTTTAATCCCTTCCCCTTCCCACTCACCTCCCTCCTTCCGTCTCTGCAGCCCTTTCCCTTAGGTTCATTCTCATTGTTATTATTTTAAGTTCATGACACACAGTGTTCATATTTATTGTGGGTATTTGGTGTTTGCACCTGACACGTCTCACTGCTTTTTAGAGGTTAGCAGTCATCTTAAGGATCATCTTAGTGACCATCACTGATGACTGGTTAGGTTAGAAAGAAATGACTCAAGGGACAGGAAGACAAAAAGACAAAGATATGAGGGATAAACTCTGAAATGCTAAAACCCAGAAATGTGGAGGTGAGGAGATGGGAGGGAGGAAGGACATTAAGGGACAAGGTATTCTAAGGTTCACGTGGATTCTTTCAAAGTTCTGTGGCTGACCAACAGATATTCCATATTAGCTGAGTTCTGCAAAGTATGTTTCACACTCGAGGACCTTGTACAAGTACCTTTCAAGGAGATTGAGGGAGGTGCTCGAGTTCCACTCTGGGTTAATCCCTTTGGGATCAAGGACACCAAACATCAAATACTACATTGCATGAATGGACAGTTCTGTTCAGGCCAGACTCAGAGCCTCCAATGAAAACACAGGAGAATAATACGGTTCCTAAATTTATAATGAAGAGGTTTGGCGAACTTATGCACACCTCAAGGGACTGATATCGCCATGGCTTTATATTTTTACTTACTGGCCAGTAGAAAACGCAAGCTTTAGAAAGCACTTCCTTTTATATCTTGTCTAACTTAAGTCTCAGGCTTTCATACTACTCCCACCTTCTTCACCATCCTGGGGAGCAGGTATAACTCATTGTCTACATTTGGACACTTTTGGGAATGGAAATGAATATAACTAATAATTCTAGAGCCATAAGTCAGGGATGTTTTAGCTAATTAGTGTGCATGACATCCCTATCTTTTGTCACTACTGACCACTCCAGGCTAAGGTCCCAAAATACAAAAAGATGCCAGTAGTAACCCCTCACCTATTTCTTTTCCCCAGATGGGCAGGCACAAGATTGTTCTTGATGCCCAGGGAACCCAAAGATAAATGGGGAAAGCCTGCAGTATAACTCGAGGTGAAAGCTAGACCTGGAGCCCCTAAAGTGTCCCCAGCCCCCACATCACGATGCTTGTAAGTGGGTCTCATCAGGAGGTGCCACAGAATTGGTTGCTCTGTCACTGTCCTGGGCCAAGTTCTGGCTCAGAGCCCTCTCCAGACGGCGGGCAGTGAGTGGCTCAGTCTCTCCAAAGCCTGGCCCACAAAGACACAAAGCAATGGGTTGAAGCAGTTGTTGGAACAGACCAGAGGGCTTATCAGTTTCTGCGCAATTCTAAGGGCTCTGCCCATTTTACCCAAGAGGACGCAGGCTCTGATGGAGGCTGTGGGGGCCACTACCAGATAAAGGCACGAGTAGAGAAAAAGTGCAATGACAACAAAGGAAGAACACATAAATGAAAGCTGGATTGGATTAGGCCCTTTTTGTGCATCCTGATGGCAGTAAGAACACACAAATCAGGAGCAGAGGACTTGGGCGTGCCTTAGCCAACAGAGAACTGGATACCGAGGGCACTGAGGGACGGTAAGGGAAAATGAAAGCAATTGGGTTACAAGAAATAGAAAACCGTAATGACTTTGTGATTCATAATGGTGCCGAAAATATTCCAGTACAGCATGTTATAACCGAATTTGGGAAGTCAGCAGGGTCCTTTAGAAAACTCAAGGGCCTGGATATTTTCCTGAGCCTGCAGCATTCACGGGGGGCAGAGTCAACATTGTCAGCATCAAAGGGTCGAGGAGCTGGGTTTCCAGGCCCCTCTCCTTCAGCAATGAAGACAGAGCGAGCAGAGATATTGTGGTGAGGAGAATCCACGGGAAGCAACGAAATGTGAAAATGAAGATGATCCATAAACCCAGACAGCAAAAGGGGACAGAGAATTCAGACAACTGGGCAGGACCAAGCAGTCTCTACTCAGCTGCCTCTGTCAAGACAAATCCATAAATTTGGCCGTGCAAGCTCCCTCACGGGATTCCAGCCCAGGAACATTTCAGTCTCTAGGAAACGTAAATATTCTCTAAGGTTCCACAGTGGAGGAGAACGAGAAGGCCCAGTGCCCCGTTCTGCTTAAGGCACATTGGGTGATAAGTAACAGACACTTGCCTTTGACCATGGCGTTGTTAATGGAGAACAAGACTTATGGGTCACTTACTAAGAAATGTGGAGGTGGGCTGTGCTAGGTTAAGTTCTGTCTGAACAATATAACAAAGAACCGTGCTTATTGTAAGCTTGCCTCTTTATCATTCTCCATATTATGGATTTCTCCTTGATGGACACAGCACGGCTGTGCGGCAGCTGCCGCAGCCCCTGGTTTTGCACCGTAGCATCCCAAGCCAGAAGGATAAGGATGAAACAGGACACTGGAGATTTCTAATCAGAAACGGGACATGTTCAGCTTTAATTACACAAAAAGGCCCACGTGGTCAACCATAACAGATGGACGACCAGGACAGAAGGTTCCAGGGGATGAGGGACGATGACAAGGAACGTTTCCAAGAGTTAGCAGGGGGACAAAATCTTCTGGGTTAAAGTGAAGGGAACGCGAGAGGGAAGGCCCCGTTATGCATGAGGACGATCCCAAGGAGGACAGAAAGTGAGAGACAAGGGACTCCACAGGGAGCTCTGCTAAACAAAGTTTGAACTCTTCTGAAATTGGACTGTTCTTCCTGCGGCGGGGGTGGCGGGAGGCCCCAGTCCGTCTCCTCACAACCCCTGTTTTACTAAAGCAGAAGCCGGCTGTGTTGCTACCAAATTGCCGGTTTTTAACACACGAGCATCTATAGCTGAAGAGAAGTAAAGTCTCAGAGAAGGTTGCCACTCCCGCACTGCTGCCAAATCCAGACAGGAAGTGGAATCAAGGCCGAGGCTGCTCAGGGAGGGGCTGCCGGTGCTGCCCAAATCCCCAGCCCAGCCTGAACCTGAAAGAGCCCACAGCGAGGCCTCTAGGCTGTGCCTGAGATGGGGAAGGCCAGGCCAGGATCCGCCTCTGCTGGTCCCCAGTTACTGGACGGGCCGCGTCAGCGGGGACAGCATTTCCTCTGAAGAGCTGGAGGGTACAGCTTTCCTCTGTGGCTGGACCGGACCGGAACAGTAGCGCGCTCCTCGGCTCTGCTCCGCGGGGCGTCCAGCAGCGCTTCACTTGTGCGCAATGCAGTTGGAGTTTGTATCGTGTTTACGACTTATGAAATATTCTTGCTTTGATATTCTGGGGCCACTAAAAGTGTAAACTCACTCTTGGATCTTTTGTACAAGCCATACAAAATCAGATGAAGGGCTAGATTTGATCCCTAATTTTACTGGGCAAGTCTCTGGCACTTTGGCTATAAACTGAGAGTAATTTACAAATCTCTCTCTCTCTCTCTCTCTCTCTCTCTCTCCCCCCCCAACTCCCTGGTCTCTGTTTAAACAGAACAAGTAATATAACTGTTACAAAGCACTTCACATGAATTTCTGTTTAATAAGTATAATGTATTTTATATTCTTAGAAAAAAAAGCATATCTCCAACCATGCATTCCCTCTGCATAGATCTCTTTATGCTTAATATTTCAACCACTCTAAAGCCAACAACACCCAGTTCTCCATCTCCAGCCAAAACCTTGCTATTGAACTCTAGATACATCATCCCGCATCCGTTTGTCCCTCAGGCCCACCTCTAGCATTTTTTCTCATCACTTGGTCCCAAAATTCTATGTCATGGCGTAAGTCGTGTTCCCATTAACCCATAGGACCTTACCATGTGACGCTCAGGCTTTTAAAGAGAAAACTAAGCTAATGTGAGGATATTAGGTTGGGCCCTGGTCCAGTCTGACTGGTACCCTTAACAGAAGAGATTACAATTCAGACCCACACAGACCAAGGACCACGTGAGGACGCAAAGAGGACTTGGCCATCTGCAAGCCAGGGAGAAATGCCTAGGAGATCCAATCCTACCCACACCTTGATCTCAGACTCCCACCCTCCAGGACTGAGAACATCAGTGTGTATTATCTGAACCCCTCGATCCATGCTGGAGTGTCACGGCAGTCACACTCGCTGATCAACCCTGCCTCTCCTCATGGGCCCCTTCTCAGTCACGACCTCCAGATCTACCCAGCTACTGAGATGCAGTGTTTTAAAGAAGACAGACAGAATGTTTTGCAGCTTCTCCCCCTGAAAGGTAGTGTCTATGTCACCTTGGCTTGTACCTGGGTGGGGTTGGGACAGAATGGAGTTGTAGGGCACCCTGTTAATGTCTGGCTTGGTGCAGAAAAACGCTACACATTCGGTGTCAGAAATACTGCTTAGTGCAGAAGTCACTTTCTGCATTGCTGTTATACTATCATGTCCTTTCATTGCTCACCTCTAATTTTCTCGTTACTTGCCTCTAATTCTTTGCCACTCGGTTATTATTTCTTCCATTTCCCTCAGTCTCTGAAGAAGTAACAGCCTGGCACCCAATTCCTGGTCCCTGATACTTACAGGATCAGCCTTCTGTTCCTCACAAAATATTGCAGCTGAGGAGGGAACATTCAGACACACGCATTTCTAAGGATCTACTCATAATGTCTGCAGCTATTGCAGAAAATTGCAGGAAACTTCAAGTTGCTGTCATCTCACTACTTCTGTTTTCATTGTTCCTCCTCTCTGTCCTTCCATCTCTGCAGAAGGCCAGCAAGGGCCTCAGTCACTCTGCAGGAAGACAGGAGGCCACAGCGGGAAAAGCATCTCAGCTGCCGGTAAGTTGCAGCCTATCCATTTAAAACGATTGTTTGAATTGCCTACCATGTGACAGACACTCCCTGCTTCTCAAGGAGAGCTCTCCAATATCGAACCACCTGCGGAGAGTGGTCCCTGCATTCTCCTCTCTGAATGTATCATGAGTGCAAATGTATTTACACTATTCAGAGATTCAGAAAGAGAATGCAAGTGATCTAATTTTTTATTGCATTTGACTTTAATTTATTTCATTTTTTGAAACAGGGTCTTATTAATTTTTCCAGGATGGTCTTAAATGCACCATCTTCCTACCTCAGCCACCTTAGTAGCTGTAACAAGAGGCATGCACCAAGGCTGACTGGCTTAATTTTTATTTTGGTAACACGTTACATTTCTGCTGGACAGTGTGGCTCTAGGGACAGAGCACTGAATGAACTTGATAGTCCTGTGTACTCACAAACTAGTGCTCGGGCCTTGGAGGGTGGAAAATAAATGAATGGACAAATGAGAAACAAAACTGTCTGGCGAGACAAGCTGTGGCTGGGGAAGTAGCTTCACATCCTGGGTCAGACCAGACCCCAGAGGACATAATATTTAAGCTAAGATATGAAACTCTGGAAAGAGCCAGGTGAGAGAAGCTCAAAAACAAGAGCGCTGTGAACAGAAACAAAAAGAGAATACACAGTCCCTGAGATAGCAAAACAAAAGTATCTATGAGGAACTGAAAAAAGTAGAAAGAGCCATGGAAAAGTGCAGCTGGGTAGGGGACATCTTGACTGCGTGTTCAGTAGATTCGGGTTCAGTAGGGGTAGGATTAGACTGCAAGGGAAAGGAGAGGAAATCAAAGATAGCATTGGTTTTGGAGCTTAGACAACTGAGTATCGACACCCAGAATTGCCAGAATATTAGGACAGAGGCACATTTGGAAAATAGGATGTTTAAGAGTTTACTTTGGGCAAATACTGCTGAGGCTCCCATGAGAGAAGGCAGGAAGTCAGGTGAGCTAGAGCTCCAGGGCAATGCCAAAGCTGCTAATCTAGATCAGAAGTCACCAGCGTGATCTGTCAAGCTGTGCGACAGGCTGGAGCCCCAGTGGAAGGACTACAGTTGGAGGATGGCACACTCCAAAAGTTAGACGTCAAATTCAGAGAAAAAGAAGCTAGTAATTCACCCTGAAAAGCGGGTGAAGACCCACAAACTGTACCTGTGTGTGCATTTATGACCTTAAAGGAAAAATGTATCTCGGGTAGGGAGAAATCTGATGGATCCTGTTACTGGGATAGCAGGATAAGCATGGAGAAAGAACCACTGGGTGTGGCAAGTGGAGTCCTTGAGCATCCCCCAGACCACACTAGATGAAGCGCTATGGCCCGGGAAACATGGTATGTGGTATGTGGTTTCCACAGAACGTGTGTGGTTAAAAATGTGAACAGATCAGTGAGAAGCAGCCCTTCCAAAGTCTGAATCCTCTTCATAGAAGAAAGTCTGTTCAGGGAAGTAGAGCTGAGGTTGGAAAGGAACACAGGTCAAGGATAGTATCTTTTTAAAGCGAGAGATAATGAAAATGACTTAGCAGAAATTAAGCTTGCAGTGTTTGCTGGAGAGAGAGGGAGGTGGGGCAGAGAGAAATAAGTTACTGATTGCAGGTTTGGGGGAAAGTAAGTGAGAGAAGGATCCAGAGGAAATTCTGAGAGCAACTTTCAGAATGAACATGAACTCTTTGCTCACAGTAATATGTACAGGTAACCTGGAGCAGTTAGGGAAGGGAGGCTGAAAATTTTCACATCTAATTACCGTGTTCTCAGTGAAATATCAGTCATGTGCATAAGGTGAGTGTGGAAGTTAGGAGTTCCGGGAGAAAGTAGAAGCACTGAAAGCAATTTTCAAATTTGAGGAAATGAATACGCTAAAAGCAGAACGAATAGACAAGAGTGCTGGGTTAGCATTTCAAACATACGGCCCTGAGGTTGAACTGCACACTGCCATGACTTGACCCTAGGAAAGTCTCTTTCCTTCCTTGGGCCTCTCTGGCTTCATCTTGTATTACAAGACATGACAGTGATGTTTGGCCTCAGAGTCAAGATGTTATAATTAGAGGGGTCCATCAACCTTGTTCTACATCACACAGCGTCTCACAGAAGACCTCAGTGAAACTGACAAGGGAAGACAAGAAAAGAAGGAAGCGAAAAAAGAATGAGGAAAACCATCACATCAGGGCACAACCGGGCCCAGGAAGTCCTGGGGGAGCCATGCTTTTCAAAAGCAACCCTGTAGAGTGGCAGAAGAAATAACTCTGAAACTGGTTAATTGTGGTTTTCAAGTCTTGCTGCCTCCGTGGACTGGCTGGACCTGATGTTGAAAAAAAAAAATCCATTAAATCCCCAGGGATATCGTTTCTGCCTGGTAAAAGAGAAATGATAGCGACTGTTTCAGAATTCTGTTACAATTATTCAGTGTGAAGGAGTCCTCAGGATTTGCTATTTCCAGACCAAGCAGACTGAATGCTTCCTCCATATTTACTGTTTAAGTGATCTTCAGCAGGCTTCCCAACTGTTTGGAACATCAACTTATTACGGAAAGCAGACACAATGAACACTAGAGAGCAATCACATAGACCAAATTGTTCCCCAGGTACAACACTCAACCATGCAGAGTCTCTGATGAGAATCCCACAAATATTAAAAAACTTACTATTCTTATGTTCTTTATCACACAGAACACAAAAGCTGTACAAATTCTTTGCTTCCCAGACATATATTTAGCAGGGATAAAAAGTACAATGGGTTGAAAATACATAGAATCAGGCACTTGTAACAAATTTTCAGAGTCCAGTGGTTGACTTCTTTTCATCTACAAACTCCAGGCAAACCCATAAACTAACTGAAATACTGACTACACGCTAGGTTCAGGACTCTCACAATAGAGGGGAGCAAGAGTCATAAGACTACAAAACTCTGGGGCTGAAAGCATGAAGTTTTCTGGCCTTTTTGCCTGCTGTACTGGGTAGAAACAGATTTGAATCTGCCGAGTCTGAATCCAGTGTTCTTCTCATTACTTGGATCTGCTTTTGCTTCATATTTTGCTGTCTGTGCATCCTCTGTTCTGTATTTCTGCTGGAGAATGGGGGCTTATGATCCTCTTGGTAAAGTAATCTGTGGATGCACATTGAATGTGACAATGTGGGGAACTCTCCTTTTCCAACAGAACAAGCAAGGAAGTTTCCAATTTTATGGTATTGCTAGCCATTAATCTTGGCAAATTAGGTCCCCTGGTTGGAGTGGAAGGGCGTGTGATACAGAATCCAAACAGGGAGGCTATAAGATGAATCCACACTTAAAAGATGGATTTTGTTGAAATGTTTCAGGGATCAACAAGATGGCAGCCAATGTCTCTCTCGCTGCAAACACATCTGAAGCGACGCACTACGAGTCAGCTGGCTACACGGCTCTGCGGATTCTCCCACTGGTGGTACTCTCGGTCACCTGTGTCCTGGGTGTGCTGGGCAATGGGCTGGTGATCTGGGTGGCTGGGTTCCGGATGGCACGCACAGTCACCTCCATCTGTTACCTGAACTTGGCAATAGCCGACTTCTCCTTCACCACCACCCTCCCTTTCCTCATTGTCTCCATGGCCATGGATGGACAGTGGACTTCTGGCTGGTTCCTGTGCAAGTTAGTTCACATTGTGATGGAAATAAACCTTTATGGCAGTGTCTTCCTGATCGCTCTCATCGCTCTGGATCGTTGTATTTGTGTCCTGCATCCAATCTGGGCCCAGAACCACCGCACCGTGAGCCTGGCCAAGAAGGTCATTGTCGGAATCTGGATTTTTGCCCTAGTCCTTTCCTTGCCAATTTTCATTTTCTTGTCAACAGCAAGTGATCGAAGAAGTGGGAACATATACTGTACCTTCTCTTTCGCATCCTGGGGAGACACTGTTGAAAAGAGGCTGGAGGTGGCCCTCGCCACGTTGACAGCCAGAGGGATCATCCGGTTCATTATCGGCTTCAGCACGCCCATGTCCACGGTCGCCATCTGCTATGGGCTCATCGCCGCCAAGATTCGCAGGAAAGGCATGATGGATTCCAGCCGTCCCTTTCGGGTGCTCACGGCCGTTGTGGCTTCCTTCTTCATCTGTTGGTTCCCCTTTCAACTGGTTGCCCTTCTAAGAACTATCTGGGTGAAAGAGAGGTCTAAGTACAAAATGCTTGCTGTCCTAATCAACCCAACAATGTCCCTGGCCTTGTTCAACAGCTGCATCAACCCAATACTCTATGTTTTCCTCGGCCGGGACTTCCGAGAGAGACTGCTGCACTCTCTCCCTGCCAGTCTAGAGAGGGCCCTGAGGGAGGACCTGGCCCCGACCAGTGACCCAGCCAATAGTGCCACTGCAACTCCCACTGAGGTCGAGTTAACACGAGGAGGGGCTTCCGCTTCATCCCTACCCTAACCTTGATCCCACTTCCGGCTTTATCGCACCTGGATCCACGCCATTGAATATTTGTTCTGGAAAAACATTTCTGTATCCCCCGATTTGTAGAAAGAATAAGACTACTGATGTCGTGTGTGTGTGTGTGTGTGTGTGTGTGAGAGAGAGAGAGAGAGAGAGAGAGAGAGAGAGAGAGAGA